CAGCGGTCTCACTTAGCAGATTTTCGTAATGGAACAGCTTATGAGACTAGAACTCTGCGTCGTTTTTGCCTAAAATCTTCAAGAACGTGTCCCCACGACAATTACTAGAACACTTTCACTCTGAAATTGTTCGAAAAAACGAAAAGTTCAACAGGCGCTATCCATTTGAAGACCGGTTTCGGTTTGACGTTTCCCCGGCTTCACTTATTGGAAACGTTCAAAGAAAAACATGGTACCATTCTGCAAGTCAAACTCCTGGTCAAATGGCTTTGAAGAACTTTCGCTCTATCTAATACTTGGACGAGTTCTCAGGCGTTGGAGGCGCCTTCCAAAGGCTATGTTTCCGCGCAGTGCCCCTTTGTAGGGCGTCATTCTTTCCAATGGGACTCACCATCCTTCGGGATTAATTGGTGCTTGCAGCGCAAACTTTGAGCTATCCTGCAGGCTGGCCAGCGGTTTGTTGTCAGCCGTGAAATATGAGGATTACAGCTGTATTGGCACACACTGGCAAGGTGAACTGCTCTCTGTGTAAGTCGCTACCGACTACTCTGTTTAGCTTTTTCTACCCCGTTCAAAGGTGGTCCAACATTTTCGTGTTCCCTTTACTCTAACGGCACTTATTTCTCCATGAATCTCAATTCGTTCAATTTTTTCCTTAATTTTTTTCCTTTTTTTTTNNTTTTTTTTTCAATTGCGAAAGTCCTGTTGAAATGCAACCTCTTAAGTTTAATGTCCGCAATTCCGCGTAGTCATGAAACCGTGCATGTTTATATGCGTATTGATTGGAGAAGTCTACCTGTGTATTGAATACCTATTGACGCCATGGTCGTAAAATTGCAGAATCGACGCCGAGAATAGCGCGGTTAATCGAAATGCATCTATTTCCCGTTAGTAGCTTTTAATGATTTCGTGATATGGTACATGCTGTGCTTGCGGTCGAGTTTTTCTTTGTGCCCTCTTTAGGGAAAAGTGCTGAGTAGTTCGATTATTACATACGGCTGAGAAAGGCCCTAATCACACTTGAGCTTATATATCTTGGAATAACTTAGCCACTTCACCATGCAACATGCGTTTCTCTATGTTTACATGTTTACCTGTGATGTGAATAGTCCACACGGAGCAGTTTTACCTAAGTTTATCCCCATGCTTTTCCGGCTCCGGGTCTGAGTGCACTGATTGAACCAGCTTTTGGCCTACTGAAAATTCCCTTTTCACAAATCCATGTGAGTGAAATAAGGTATCCTGAAAAACCAAGGGCGCAAATGTGGAAGAATTCAAGAAATGGAGAACAACGACATTATGAGGAAGTTTCCTGGGACATGTTTTCATGTTTAAACCTTTTGGTCCTGCTGCGAAAACTTGCACCTGTGTATATGAGTAGGCGTCACCGCAGAAAATTTGTATTCTATTCCCTACAGATTCTTACTTCAGAAACAGGTTTATTCTGCTGTATCATCAAGGTACAAAAGAAAATATTAGCAAATACATGGCAGGATCTCATCCCATTTCCCACTTGCTTTTCGCGAACGTTTTATTCTGACTCTGTAGGCAATTATTCTATTCTTGCGATCGATATGTAGTGCAATTCGTGTGATTATTGACTTTTGAAAATTATATTGTGTCTGGATAAGGCGTATAAAGTTACTTGCATTTTTCTGAAAATATCGTTCGTAATTCTCAAAATATCTCATAAGAATGAGCTTCTCTTATATATTATTGCGTTTTGTTTTCATCTACATTTTCCGCACCATCTTTATGCCGTAGTCTAACAGAGTAAAAATAAAATTCGTGAGCTTTTCATTCTTTTTCCCATCTGATTATTTGCCATCCCACTGGGTCCCCAAGTCTGTCAAATCGGTTTGGCCCAAATTCTTCTTACAACCGCATACTACTGGTATTACTCGTGGAGTGGTGCGTGCCGATTAACTAGAGCAACGTGCAACACCGTTTATTTTGTGTTGACCTAATCTTACTTCATTCTTGGCTACACTTGCGGTAGGAATTTCGACATTAGTTGAGTTTTTTTCCTGTTCGTAGATGTGTGTAAGTACGGCAGGCTCCTTCACAGAATTCTTAAGATAGTGGTTTCATTGAACATTTTGCCCCTTTTCTGACCCCTCAAAATAATCTACACCCAAGCCAGCTGATGCATAGTACCCTCTCAGACACCCACAGCATAGGGGTCAATGGTCTTGGCAGCTCCTGAGATGGTGATAGGCAATTTCGCCATATTTTCCAATAAAACTGCGCCAACTACATCACAAACTCGATTGGATGACTGAGTAGAGGGAATAGGAAAGTTCGAGAACGTCTGGAAATCGACATCAAATTGATTTGCTATATTGATAGTCTTTATTCTTTCTGTATTTTCTACAGGAGAATCGTCCTTTTATTCTACTGGAAAGCTGCGTTGGAACGAGTGAGTTCAGTGAGGGCATAGCTGAGCATCAATCATTCTCTCGGAGCCGAGCAAACGGCTGTCAGATTATATCTTAGCAAATGCTGCTGATATCCAAGTTTCAGAAGCTGGAATAGAAAACTCGGGAATCGTTGCCTCCTTAAAAGTGGCATTTATTCTGTGTAGAATTCACATGCTTGCCGAATACCTGTTCATTCACTTTTTTTCCTACTCGAAATAGACCTTCCACATGGCTTTACTGTTTGGTTTGTTGGAATGCCGGTCTGGATGGGGCGCTTTGAAAAAGAGGGGGTAGGGGGTGTATTTCGGTTCAAAAGTTAGCAGAGTAATGTCAACATCGTCATGGAACTCGTTCTACACAAAATATATCTCCTCAAAACAAACTTTTCCTCATTCTAGCGATACCAATCTCCAGCCTGCTGTCATCGTTAGTTGTGCGCAGTTTTCTTCAACTGCTCTGCCCTTTTCGTCGTTGCTTGTGCTCTCGTCCTGGACGCGTCTTTTGCCGAATCGATGCGCCCTTTTTCGAGGGTTGGAAAGGAGTGAGACGGAGGGAGTTGTTCCGCATGGCATCGACTGGTGTCGCCGAGCCAATTTCGCTCATACTTTCAGCAATTCGCTGCTCTTTCTAGTAATTCCTGGCGTTACTGAACGTCGTGTAGCCTTTCGTAATTATATGGCGCGAGTTTCCGTGAGTTTCTTTTTCCTCCGCGACGGGTGGTAAACATGTCGTACACAAAGTCTATCCACCTGTTTCTAAGGGCGAGAAGTACAAAAAAAGTTTTATCATGCCTTTAGTCGTTAAGTGTTTGGCCATGCACGGGACAAAACTTTAGTGTTCCGTCCATACTTTACTTTTATAGATTAGTACTCCTTACTCTAGTTCATATGGTACATATTTCCGGGGAAATACCAGGGAATCCCGCGTATATCATCTGCACGCAGATGGTTTACGTTTTTGCGTGGCTCTTTATCATCTATCAACTAGAATTACAACCAGTATGGATTATGGACGACTAAAAGTGTCATTCAACATTCTGATTCCCATGTGTAAACGAGCGTCGTCGTATATTATTGCGCATACGATTTCTTTATATCATGTTGAGGACAGGAACAGTGTAGACTATTGGACTCTGAAGCGTGCATCAAGTATTCATTCGATTTCGAGGATTTCGATTTGAGCCCTTCGTCTTTGGCTTCCCGCTTCCAGAAGTGGCCATTTGCAGTCGATAATTGGCATAGCCCATTACCCTCTGAGATTTTACTCCAATAAAGCTTGCACCTTAGGAACCACCGCTCTTCTGCTTTATCCTAAAGATAAAGGTTTCCAGGGTTCATATCAAGTCATTGGTGCATCTAATAGAACACTTCTACCATAATCTACGGAGTTACTACGATGTACTGGGTAGGCTAATTTGTGATCATCCTCGGTAGTCAATCCCACTCAATAGTACAAAATGAACTACATTGAAGAAGGGACTGTTTATCGAGCCACTCTTTTGTACCTACGAGCGCATCACGATTTGCGTTCAAATAATCCTATCAATTCCGCTTTGAAAAAAGTCTTTCAACTCATGAGCTGGGTTCTGAAACCGGTTCGCATATGACTTCATTACGTTGGTCATGGATTATGTATGATTCTGGTTGTAAAGAATCTTGTGCTATCATAATAATTGAACAAAGTTCCGATGTACGTGTATCAGGAAGGTTACTTCCTCTTAACTGCAATTTTTTATTTCAGAAATATTTGCTGTAACATGATTAAATAATGCTGGGTAATTGCTTTTTTTGCATATTTTCCTTTAATACTGTCCATTTTAATTATGAATTTGCATGGCACCAAAGTCTCGTCTGTTCTTATAAAATCTATTGTGTAAATAATTCGCAACGGCGAATTCGATATTTCTTGCCGTAAAGCGCGTCCCATTTCAGTGTTTACTTTGAGTGGGATTCAGCTCATTTCCATTCTCCTTTAGCGTCTTCTGTTACCTCTGGCAAGGGTGCTCGCTCCTCATCACATCACTTTCATGGCTTCTTTTGTTATTCTTGTGCTGGAATGCCAGAAATTCCAGTTTCACTCGTTTCACTTTCAATCGATTCTGACACGATTCGTGATAGGCCACATTTTCGCTTTTAATATTCAATAATCTGGTTTGTATATAGCGGGAAAATCGACGATCCATTCTATAAACTGCCCCGTAGTCGATTTTAAGAAAGACATCTGGTCGTAGTGTAGGCATTCGAAGACCATGATCTCATTTTAAGCTGTTTGAAACTCCACAGGAAGATCAGTACTAAGCAAGGTGTTAGCTTCCCTAGAATGAATTTCTTTCGAAGATATATATATCTCACTTTTGCACGTTTCCTGTAGGTCTTTGAGCTCAGAATTTGCCATGAAAGCGCTTCGTTTCTCTAAAGCGAATTCATTTGAAATTGCTATAGGATCTGGTCTCAGATTGTTTCTTCGCATTGCAGTATACCACTGCCTATTCGACTGGGCTACTCTTTTTCCCTCTAATTGCATTTCCTGTGGGGGATTGCAATTGCGGTGATACCAAACTTGTGTCTTGTTGCTAGATCCATGCACTCAATGCTCTCCTATTCTTTGTTGCCGCATTGTTCCAGAAGCAGTCTGCAGGCTTCCACTCTCTTTGGCCATTCCAAACTTGATGCATTTGTTTGGGACGATGCGCTTATTCCTCATGAGGTTCCATTGCGAGTACATTCTCGTTGATACTATTGATGAACGATTTGTATTTGTGATATCACCTACTAAGTTTTACTTTTCAAGGCGGCTGCAGCGATGACGTACGGCGTCGGCGTCGCGCAAAACAACGCAGATATCGGTGGTGGTGGCGGAATGAACGATGAGGAGTACGACGAGAATTCGTCCGCACGACTATTCGAACGCAGCCGCATCAAAGCACTTGCGGGTTTGTAATGTTGTCATGTTAGGATTTCTTCTTTTTTTATTTTTGATAGATGATTTTCTTTTCATATAGTCATAACGTGATAGTATGAAAAAAATTACCGATATTAAGCGATATTTCACTCCTGAAATGTATCTATTTGAGAAGAATGCGTGCCGGGTGTGACTACAAGTCAGATTCATAAGGTGCACCGATGCGAATGTTTTGTCGATCTCAGAATCGTGAATGTTGGCGGTAGTTATCCGCAGTGTGTTGAAATCGATATTAATATAGATGGTGCTATTGTCCCGCTTCGAAATAGCCAAAGTGGCGGCGCTTCCAGTCTCTATGGCGTTATGTGTCATTTCGCATTGATGTCGCATCTGATGTTGTTGGTGGTGGGCGTGATGATCGTCCTCAACCTGACGCATTCATGCAAGGATTTGAGGAGAATGTGATGTGTTAACGCCCAGTTTGAGCGAATATTAGGAAATATGGGGATTAGAGCTTGCTGGGCTGAACTCGCTCCTATTCGGCTGCAGAATTGAGTCGTAGGACTTTCGTATATAAAGAAACGACTATGGTGAACGCAGAGAAGATTTTTTGATGCAATAACTGAAACATAATGTCACTGTGAAACACTGAAGCTCGAGATTTTCCTGGTCTTCTCAAGAACTATTAGTTCCAGAAAAAGACATCTGGATTTCATCATTTTTATCATGGGCGTCACAATGTATGAATAAGGTGTACGATGTGCGCTGGTGACATTGAAAGCGTGGTGGTCCATAATATTGCGGATTAGTTTCGGACACACTAATTTTGTCTGCTTTATCACGAAGGATTAACTCAGTAATACGATTATTCCTTGATTGCGACATTACCCAGCGAATGATTGTGTCGGCCCATCGCTTACTTTTTGAAAAAAAAGAATATTTCTAGGAAAATTACCGCAATCACTTCAATTTTGACGAAATTGGGAAACGGCTTCCATTTGTTTATTGGAGTGCCTGATGGAACAATTAATCCTTAGCGGCTGATTCCTTTGTTGAACTCGTCTTTCGACCATGCTCAGTTCCCACGTTTTACTGCCTAATCGACATTTAGCGCTTTAACAAGCTGTATACGAGACTATTGTGCTAGCATATCTTGCTAATGAGCAGGACTCTCTCTGCATGCTCACGCCAAAAGAAGAAGATCCGAAGAACCAAACCAAGGCTGCCTCAAATTTGGGTACTAAAGATTTGCAATTTTGTGGAATCCGCGCTGGAGGAAGGCGGAAGGCGGGAATCTGCATATAGTTTGGGCTACAATTTTATGTAAGATCGTAGTTCAATCGACTGTTTGTTAATTCAGAGCAAAGCCCTTGGCGACTGATTCCGTCACATTAACAAAAGGTTTTATTAACATTCGTGCATTGTTCTGTCTGTTCTCAACAGGCAATCAAGCGAAGAAAAACTTGTCTGGTTGTCTGTTGAGTTGAATATGCTCTGAGTTCTCAGCCGTTTCTCAGAAGAAAGTCTCACTGGGTTTTCATCCATGAACCGTCTATTAAAATGCGTCTATTAAGATGAATAGAGTGAACCGAATCTCTTCATTTGTCATGAATAGCCTGTTGTCTTGAAAACACGCATGTTGCCTCGGAATTCCGATTATGCTCAGTTGTGGATCAAGTTATTGCTATACCACTAGATTCTGGTTTGTTTGTCCGACGTCCGATTCACATATTGGAAATTTGGTTCGTTATGATGTGTAAAGGAAATTGAATCGACTGTTAGGTCTCTTGGAGAAGACGAATTGAATGGGAAAAGAGTGTATGCTGGGAAGACGATGCACAGTTTGACTGGGCGTCTTCAAGAAAATTGAACCAACTAACTTGCGTAGATGGTGCGTTGCGAATTCGCTAGAATTCGTTATTTCAGTTTGTAATTTCTATCGGTACAGATTTTCTCATAACCCACAGCTATACTAGAAGCAGAAAGCTTCATACTGGACATCTACGGCTAATTCTAGTCGATCAGCTGTAAATTAAAGTTTTTGGGGAATAGTAGTGATATTATTTGCTACGAGCAAATCCTTTCAACTTCTACTGAATCGGTGTGGCCCCCTTGGAGGGTATTATTCGCAGTCTGATATCAAATTTATCACTTTCAAAAGAGAATAGGAGTAATGACTTCATAAAAAGGTGTGAGAAAGACAGTTAGAGTTCGAGAGCAGGCCTCACTACAGAGGAAAGGAGAAGAAAATGGAACTTCAAAAACTATATTAACGGTTCAGCAGAGATGAGCTGTACTAAGACCCTTCTTTCTGGGTTAATAATGTGCCTTCTCGATGTGCCTGGCACCAAAACTACCTCATTCGTTCAGCTTTATTGGCGAATCGGTTGCTAATGGATACAGAAATCCTTGACAAAGAATAAGTTTTTTGGAAACGCGCTTACGTGGCTGTAATGTACTTAATGGTCTGTTGTATTGTTGACACAGTGTTGATGAATGCCTCACATATGTGGGTCGCCAAGTTTGCATTGCGGGTCAATAGCGTAGACATGGCAGACGGGCGTCTACAGCTGAAGTGGTTTCTTTCGACCTCCAACAAGACAGGGATGTGCTCTCCGATGACCAGTATGTCACTAGTGAAGAGAAGAGCCTCTTTCGGGGCCACTTTGCCGTGTTTCCCTCAAAAGACATGAATTGGTCTTGTGAGTAATATGTATGTTTTCACGCCACTCAAGTACTACCAAGAGTAGTGTGTTTTATTACTCCTTACCAGTGAATTTCTTTTAATATTGAAGGAATAAAAAGTCTTCCTCGTAAGCATCTGGTTTCGCTGATTGTAGATAGCATTCATCGATCAGAATAGACACTTCTTTGACGAATAGCTCTTGGTTCTCTGTGATCAACATTACAACAATATTGACGGGCTGAGTTACACCTATGACCTGATAGAAGCCTGAAATAATCGAGCGAGGGAAGTGTCAAGAAAGAAGTGCTAATGATGTCTTCATGTAAGGGAAATTCTATAAGCGTCACTGAAACAGCGCACGAAAGGACTGCAAAAAGCCTTTCCGTGTTTTTCTCGCACCTACGAATGGAAACATTTAAGTGAGTAGGTGGCAAGAGATTCCAGACAGACGGGTTGAATCATAAAAGGTTGGCGTTCTTTTAACAGTCCTTGTCGGCACATCTTTCTATGGCCATGAACAATTGCGGAGCATGGCCGCAATCTCTGTGAACCGAAGAAAAAGAATTGATGCATCTAACAACACTGATAGCAGCAGAATTGATAACATGGTGTTAGTGGCTCGGCGGTGCGATGGAATCGACTCCGACTTCCCCTCGAGTTGACGTCGATACCAACGAAGACGAACTGCTCAATTTGTCAGATGATACCGCAGCCACAGGACCTACGCCTAGTCCCAGAGTAGAAGTGTTCATCCCAGTCAGGGATAATTCTGCAGAACCACGATCTCCTGGAGTTTATCCTGGCTCTCCTGGCGCCTTGGAAGAACATCGGATAAGAATTGAAGGTGGCGAAGGAACTGGGACTCACCCGACTGCATCGGCGGAGTTGCTTGATAATCAAATTGGAATGAAATTCAACAAAATTGATTTGAGGGTCCGCGGTCTTCAAGGTCCCCGAAATTTTTCATTCCTTTCTTTTCAAATATTTATTCAACGTACAAGATTATTGGTATTTTCTAATATTGAGTAATGTTGCCATAATTTTAATCGAATCGTTTTAAGAAGAACGAGAGCACGTGCAAAAGAAAACGTTCACAAAATGGGTAAACTCTCATCTAGTCAGAGTCAGTTGCAAGATTCAAGATCTCTATATGGATATGCGAGACGGAAAGATGTTGCTGAAATTATTAGAAGTTTTGTCCGGGGAACGCCTGGTAAGTTTTCAAAACTTTTAATATTTCTAATATTTCAATATTTTTTTCTAATTTTCGCGATTTTGAGAGTGACTTTAACTTGTGCAGTAATGTTCGTGTTTTCTAGTTCTTGACGTTATGCTTTTAAACTAATAGGTAAAAAAAATTATGAGGTGATTAGAAAAGTTATTGAAATACTTGTGTGGTACTGTTCTTCTTTGTTTACATGACTAAAAGGCGTCTTCGAAAATTCAAATTACACGTTAGCGGGGAGCGCATCCGGAGTTGCACTGATGATTAATCGATTATTTTATTCCCCTAGATATAGTAGTGACACTTCGTGATAAGAAGCGAAAAAAGTACAGGAACTGTCATGGATACATCTTTACTGGCTTTTTTGGAAGACATTCTTTGAGTTGATTGATGTAACTACTTGGGATCTCATCGAAGCCACTTTCCCGTTCAGATGGGATGTTTTTTCGATTTAAAATTTTCTATGACCTGAAAACGATTTCATAGCTACAATTAGAACATCGCTCATTTTCCTCAAAAAGGTCATTAATCGAATCTAAAGCCAAAATTGAGTGGAATGCACCTTATAAGTGAGATTAGGGTGGTTTGTAAGTCATGATTTCGCAAATGAATTCGGTATTTACGCTAGGGTGTGTTTAATGTGATTAACTTCATTGTAATTTTTATTTCTCGGCTATTTGCTGTATTTATATCTGCTCTGAAATATACAATTAACATTGGCAGTATTCACTTGGAATTTATCTTTTTCCTTTGAAACACAGCAAACTCAGATTTGTCTATTTCCAGCCGAAGCCGACCCGTGGAAAAATGCGTATCCATTGTCTCGAGAATGTCGACAAGGGCTTACAATTTCTTAAAGATCAGCATGTACACTTGGAGAATCTCGGATGCCATGACATTGTTGATGGAAACCCCCGGTTGACCTTAGGTCTGATCTGGACCATCATTTTGCGATTCCAGGTGACTACTTTTTCTACCAATGTCTGCATTTTTCGTTTAAATGTTTAATATTTTGCACATTTTTTGCTGACGCTCTCGTGTTTCAGATTCAAGATATCACATTCGAAGACGCTGACAACCATGAGACGCGGTCCGCCAAAGAGGCACTGCTACTTTGGTGCCAAATGAAGACAGCTGGTTATCCAAATGTAAATGTCAGAAACTTCACCACAAGGTAGGTTCAGCTATCGACTAGTCACCGCAGAAACCAATTCAGTAATAGAGAATGTAAGATGTGCTTGCATTCTTCATTCCTTATGGGGTATCGTTGCAGCTGGCGAGATGGTTTAGCGTTCAACGCTCTTATTCACAAGCACCGCCCAGACTTGATCGACTACGACAATTTGCAAAAGTCGAACGCTGTGTATAACCTGCAAAACGCTTTCGATACTGCTGAGCAACAACTTGGGCTTTCGAAATTCCTGGATGCTGAAGGTCTGCGTTTGGATAATATGGGTGCAATGCGAAGGAAGATAATGAGGCAAACAAAAACAAACTCCCGTATTTTCAGATGTAAATGTACGCGATCCGGATGAGAAGTCAATTATTACCTATGTTGTTACTTATTACCATTACTTTAATAAGATGAAGCAGGAAACAATTCAAGGAAAACGTATTGGAAAGGTCTGAACAATTTTCACATAAAAGAACGCTCAGTAGCAAACGTTTTTGCATCGAGTGTTGGGATTTTAAGGTTATCAACGAACTTATGGAAAACGAGAAGATGATCAATCGTTACGAAACAATTTCTTCAGATCTCTTAGAATGGATTAAACAGAAAATTGAAGTCCTCAATGATAGGTTAGTTTACCAGTTCATTCTTCTGGTGGCCAATAATCAACTATTGTTCAGGAAATTCCACAATTCACTGCATGGCGTGCAGGAGCAGCTCGCTGAGTTCAACGCATACCGAACGCAGGAGAAGCCTCCAAAGTATGTCATTCATTGTTTTCACGTTTTGCAATTGTGTTTGCATTTTGGGAGTTTACATTATTGGTCGTTTATCACTTTTGTAAGTAAATGAGGAAAATCAACTAAGCGAGTTGCTCAGATCAAGCCAGCACCAGTCCATTGTAAGACCTGCAAATACTATTGTTACGCTGACTGGATTTCTTGTGAGGGAGAGGTCAACCAAGTGTTTGGTCCACGTTTTCCGCTCCTTTGAATCAGTGAGGACTATCCATTTCAGGTTCGAAGAGAAAGGTGAACTTGAGGTGCTCTTATTCACACTCCAATCTGCAATGCGTGCCAACAATCAGCGCCCATTTGTGCCTCGTGAGGGAAAGCTAATCGGAGATATCAACAGGGTGAGTCGATTTTCGATTTCCGGTTTGTTGTTGTAGAAAGAGATATTGTTTTGACCTATCTGTGGCTTGGCTGAGACCGAATAGCGAACCAGTTATTGTCCCACTTTTTATTTGTACTTTTTATCTTTTCCCTCAGCTCTCTGGCATCTAGCGGAAGAAAAAGTTTATGGGTCTGTTTTCTAGGCCTGGGATACTCTAGAAAAGGCTGAGCATGAACGAGAGCTCGCACTCAAAGAAGAGCTAATCCGTCAAGAGAAACTTGAGCAGTTGGCTGCTCGCTTCAACCGCAAGGCGGAGATGAGGGAGACTTGGCTCACTGAGAATCAACGTCTCGTCAGTCAAGACAACTTCGGAAATGATCTCGCTAGTGTTGAGGTATGCTCTCTGTTTCTACTGGTTAACAATCGGCAAAAATTCCATACTTTATTTTATATCTATTTATTTACCTTATTTATTATATGTAGGCTGCCACTAAGAAACACGAGGCTATCGAAACAGACATTTTCGCATACGAAGAGCGTGTGCAGGCAGTTGTTGCTGTTGCTGGTTCGTTCCTTCAGTATTTCGACAAGTGTTTCATTCATATAATAAATAAATATAACACGATGCAGTAGCTCGTAGCGAGTAGTGATTTTATGATAAAACGTCGGACTTTAGGAGAACTCGAGGCAGAGAACTACCACGGTATTGACGAAATCAATAACAGGAAGGAGAATGTGCTCAAGCTTTGGAACTATCTATTCCAGGTTTGTATAATCAATCTACACACGCATTAGAGTTACGAAATTTTTCTGTATCTTTGTACAGTACTGGATTTGGCAACGTGTTTTAGCTTCTTCTTGCTCGTCGAGTCCGACTTGAGCTATCCATGGCAATTCAACGTATATTCCATGACATGCTTCTTACTCTCGATCTCATGGACGATATTAAGGTGTGTGACATATAAATTTTGAATGTTTTTCTTGGCTATTTTGTAGCTTTGCAAATCCAAAACTCATTACTTTCAGGCGCGTCTTTTATCGGACGACCTTGGTGCCCATCTGATGGACGTGGAGGATATGCTGCAAAAACACGCTTTACTCGAATCCGATATCAACATCATTGGAGAACGTGTGCGTAATGCTGTCGCTCAGGCACAGAGGTTAGTTGTTTCTCTTTTATGCTCCGGTTATATATCACCATGGCACCTTGCTACCAACATACTGTTTCCCGTAAGATATTGAGACCGTATGGGTGGGAATCCGAGCGCCTTCCCGGTCTTCCCTTCAAAACTAAGCCACGCTATGCGCAGCAATGTAGTGAGGACGACCGCGGTGGCGCCTTCCAAAAGATATATCCTAGTACCAGCTGTCCTTGGAGCTTTTCAATCAGAACCACGTTTTTTTTTCGATGGATATTAAATATCTATTTAGATTCCGTGACCCTGAAGGTCCAGATGGCAGCGGATACCTGCCTGTAGAGCCAGCTGTGGTCGATGAGCGGTCGGCTATCTTACAAGCAAAGTTTGTGTTATGATCATGTTTTTCTTTACCGACGTATCGTGGATGACTTTTTTCATTCCCGTTCTTATAGTCTGTGATTACCATGTTTAGATATCAAGAGTTGCTTGACCTAGCTGCTCAGCGCAAACGACGTCTCGAAGATAATCGCAGACTTTGTCAGTTCTGGTGGGATGTGGCTGATCTTGAGAACAGCATCAAGGATCAAGAACGTGTGAGTGGAAATATACCTTTTGAACGTAAAAGGGGTAATCAGTAACTTTTTATTACTTTGTTGCCGCCATCTACTCGTTGCTAGAGGTTTCTAGCATTTCTTTCAGGTGCTTAGTTCCACCGACACTGGCAAAGACATTGTAACAGTATCTCATCTCCTAGCAAAGCACAAAAATGCCGAAAATAATCTCAGTGAAATTGAGCGCCAGTTGGTGCAACTTACAAAAGATGGCGATCAGCTACTAGCGGAGGATATCCCTGGTGTGTTTCAGTTTCGTCTCAATTCAAAGCGCAGGTGACCTATTATATCGAAGCTAAGGATGAAATCTGTAAAGTACTGAGGAAGGGAGTGTGCTGCAATTTATGGACATTTGCATGTTTTTGCCTCGGCTAGTTGGTTTGCTAATAGTGAAATTGACTGCCTGGATGTGTTTAGTGATTTCATGACTGGAGCCTAGCAAGGAAAGCTTTACTTCTTTGAGCGATGTCAAAGTATAGCTCTGGTTGCTAGATTTAGCAAAAATTAAGTATTACGACATTTAAAGTTCAGTTGTGGTTGCTTCAGGAAAAAGGGTATGAGATAGTACTGAAGGAAATACCTTCAGTAATCCCAACTAGATGTTGGAACCACCCCATAGGGGTAAAATGATGTCAACGAGAATTCCTGACATTTAGGATCGGATAACATACCACCTCGTCTTCAAGAAATTCGCGATTATTTGAAGAAACTCCGTGAACTCGCTAACGCGAGACGCCAAAGACTTACTGGCGGCGTCGATTATTACCAGGTTCATTTACTCATTTGGATAGTCGTGTGGCATTCAACTTAGCAGATCTTTTTCAGTTCTTCACCCATGCTGATGATGTTGATGCGTATCTTCTTGATACACTTCGGATCATTTCAAGTGATGACGTTGGTAAAGATGAAGGCACCGTCCAACTGCTTCTCAGAAAACATGACGACGTATCCGATGAACTGAAGTCGTTTGACACCCATATCCAACAGCTTTACCAGAAGGCAGAGGCGCTGCCACCTGATGTGAGTTTATGTTTTCTATTTAACCATGACTACATGTTGCCTTTTTTGCTATTCAGTTCTGAAATTTTTCGTTGTCATAATAAATTTTAGTACGAACAGGTCACTTCGAATACCGTTTTCAAAGCGATTTCGTAAATTCATTAAATGTTCAGGTCGATGAAAAGGAGAATGTGGTGATTCTATAATCCAGTTCTGACGTTAAGCTTATTTTTCGAATTGTATAGGCCGACTAACACTTTTGCTATTTCGGGAAAGGGTATAACCAGTGCGAGTTGCCTAATATATGCAATGTCGCTTTGGGTCCGCAGCTGCCCGCAACTAATTTTTGTCTGAAATTTGCTTTCGCGTTGGCTGGAGAGCTTGATAAAGCGCTGGTTTCAGGCTCGAGAACATCCAGACATCAAGGAGCGACTTGCCTCGACAGTCAGGCGAAAGGCAGAACTCGAGGATCTTGCTCAACTCAGAAAGCAACGCCTTGTTGATGCCCTATCTTTGTATAAGCTCTATGCCGATGCTGATTCTGTTGAGGCATGGATTGATGAGAAGGTGGTTTTCTACAGCCCATATGTTCTAAAAATTCGAACTTATTTCAAATTACATTTCCTTCCATTCACTTTTATCGTTTCCCTGACATTTCAGAGTAAGCTGCTGGCCACACTCGTCCCAGGAAAAGATTTGGAAGAGGTTGAGATAATGAAGCATCGATTCGATACACTTGATCAGGACATGAAAAACCAGGAAGCTAAGGCAAGTTTGCCGC